AGGTGTATGTGGCTGGCGTCTTAGCCACTTGAGCCACAGGCGCTGAGCTGGGACAGATTTGTTTAAATTAGATTGTGGCCTCCCTGTTTTGTAAACATACCAATATACTAAAAGTCCTTTAAGAGTACACTTTTAATACTTTAGGGTGAATTTTCATGGCATGTAAATTATATCACAATAAAAGTTTTCTTTTCTTTTTCTTTTGAGACAGTCTCACTTTGTCATCCTCGGTAGAGTGCTCTGGCATCACAGGTCACAGCAACCTCAATCTCTTAGGCTTGAGCGATTCTCTTGACTTAGCCTCCCAAGTAGCTGGGACTACAGATACCCGCCACACACCTGGCTATTATTTTGTTGTTGTTGTCACTGTTGTTTAGCAGGCCTGGGCTTGGTTCGAACCCACCAGCCCTGGTGCACGTAGCCGGCCCCTAACCACTGAACTACAGGCGCCCAGACAAAAGCCTTCTTAACATAAAAAGTAAAGATGCCTTTCTGAGGACGGTGGGAACCAACACACAAAGGAAGCCAGCGGTGGCTGCCACCTTGCGTTTCCAAGGATTGCTGAATGAGCCCCTGAGGCCCATTTACTTTGTTAAACTAGACAGTTTTAGTCGTAGCACCTCTGTTTAAACTTAAGTTTTCTCAGCCAAAAAGTTCTTAAACTACTTCGAAGGGAGGGAGAAATAGCAGAAGTCTCTTTTAAGGGGAAGTGCCCGCAGTTCTGCCCCAAATGCTCCCCATCTGCACAGGTTCTGACTCGGCTGTCCCTCCCAGTCGGCGCGTACAAGCTACCCGCCCTTCCACCCTTTCCACGCGGCGTGCAATTTCCAAGTTTGCCTGCCATGCCTCTGTCTCGGCCACCGCTTGCCCTGCAGTCTAGGGGCTGGACCCCGGGCCAGCCGCGGACGCCTGCCGCCTGCCGCCCGCGCAGCCTTCAAGCCTCCTTCCTTTGCGCTCTGCGGGGCGCCGGGCCGGGCGGCTCATCCGCCCCAAACCTCTGCCAGCCGCGGCTTGGGGTTGGTCTGGGTAGCGGAACGAGCCCAGGAACAAGTGACCGCTGGCGTCCCCTTCATTCCCAAAGTAAAGTTTGCAGGAGGGAAAGAGCAAGGTGCGCCCGGCCTGTACTAGCCCAGGGCTCCCTTTAGGGTCTACCCGTGCACAGGGAGCGCTCCTGAGCGCGTCCGGAGGCAGCACCTGGCCGATACCGACCCACGCAGACGGGACTGTCTGCGCGGCAGCTGGGTGCTCGCGGAGCGTGCCCGGCACGTGCAGCTGCTGCCACCTTCTCCCGAACAGGCCCCGGACCCGCCTCTCCAGCGGCCCTGGGCCCAATGCCCCTGCTCTGGGCTGGAGGTGGCGGAGCGGGGAGGCGCCAGCCTCGAAGGGGAGGAGAACGGGGAGGGACCGGCTGCCCTCCAGCCGTCCACCTTCTGTCTCGGAGCGGGGCACACTCCCGCCGCCTTCGCTCCGTCCCTTGTGGACCCTGGGAGCGTGGGCAGGGCCGAAGGGGCTTCCGCGGGCCTGGCCTCTCCCACCCAGGAGGAAAAGGCGGGGGAAGCCCCCGGCGCCCGCCGCCTGGAGCGAGCCGCGGAGCCCTCGGGCTGCGCCGGCGCTGAAGACGAGTCCGGGCGGGGCTCCGGTGCGTTGTGCCTGTCGCCGTCCGTGTCCGGAGCGGAGGCCAGCGGCCGCCCGCTCGGCGCCCAGGACCATACGAGCCCCACCCTGCCGGGCGTGGGCGGTGGCCCACCTCGGGAGAGCGGAGCAACCGTCGCGGGGCCTCGCCGCGGCCTCCAGCGCTCCGGGCACAGGGAATGCAGTGGCCCCCGGTCCCTAGTGCCTCTCCGTGTCTGGGCTGGGACTCCTCGATCGCCTGCTCCACGGCCACGACGCTCCTGAGCCGAGCCGACCGGGCCCCCTTCATGGCTGCCAGGTGGTTCAAGGAACTCCCCCTGACCCTGAAGACAGCGTCAGAGCGGGCCAGGCCCGGGGGCGGGGGCGGCGGCAAACCGCGCAAGAACTCGGAGGCCGGCGGCGCGGGGCCCACCCCGGGGAAGGGCCGCAAGAACTCGGCGGCGGAGCTGGGGAGCGGCAGGGCCGGCGCCGGCCCCCCCAAGGACAGCCGGCTGTCCCGGGACAGCCTTCAGGGCCTGATTCAGGCGGCTGCGGGCAAGAGTCGCAAGAACTCCCGGGCCACTGAGGAGGAGCCCCACCGGGGCGCGGCCAAGAGCTCGGGCTGCAGCACCTACATCAACAGGCTCATCAAGGTGGACACTCAGGAGAAGAACGGGAAGAGCAGCTACCCGAGCAGCAGTAGCAGCGGCAGCACCAGCTCCTCTTCCTCCGCGTCCTCCTCCCCTTCCTCCCTGGGCCCCGAGCTGGACAAGGCCAAGATTGTTAAGCAGCAAGACACGGTAAGAACACGACCTCCCTTGGACCACCTCTCAGTGGAGGGGGACACAGTGGACCAGCTACCCGCAGGGTGTGTTTCCTCGGGTCCTTCCCCTCCACCATTCCGTGATAATTACGTGGCTATTTAAATTCATTTTTTATGTATCTTAAAAAAAAATCCTTATTCTAGAGGTGGAAGAGCTTTGCGGAAATGTACTATCCACTTAATCTTGGTAGCAATTTAGAAGAGTAATTGAATGAGATATTCCTGCCTTGTTAAACTTGACCACTTTATAGATAGGGTTTTTTTCCCCCCACAAAGAGTTTGACACCATAGATGTGGTTTGTTTTAATTTTGATAACCAGGAGAATTCCAAAGCTAGACTTGTGTATGACTTTTATCCTTTTGGGGCATAAAGAATAGTAATCTCTAAACCGTGTAAAGTATGGATTTCAAAACCTCAGGAAATGGTCGGCCCACCCCCTCCACTGATGTGGAAGTTCCATCTTTCCCTTTGCAGTTCCACCCAGGAAAGGGCTTCTCAGCTCAATGACACTCCAGGTTTACGGCTCTTTGATTCATTCCATGGACATTTGTTGTGTAGCAGCCATATGGGGTAAGGGGCACGGGCACTGAGGGCTGTGGGGGATACAGAACAGACAAGGAAATGCTCCTAAGGAAATTGCAGATGAGGAGAGAAGAAGGTGTTTCCTGCTGCGCACACACTGGCGCTTTCTGGGTGCTGTCCAACGTGGGAAAAGTAAGGCTTGTGAACGCAAGAAGGGACTCCCGGTTTTTACAGTCCTGAGTTGATTTGCTTTGATTTGGTTGTCTTTCTTTTCTTTCTTGTGTGAAAGAGAGAAAGAGAGCTCAAGCTGAGACTTTAGACTCCAATCCGGGAGTCTAAAGTCACGGGAGTCAAGTTCCTGGGAACTTTGATTTTCTCTTGGCCCCGGGCTTCAAGCCTCCCTGACTCGAGTCACGAGCCCGTGCCACACACCATGTATGCCTGCATTGGGCATGTCTGTTCCTTCCTCTTGTCACACGTTTACAGTGAGCCTGCCCTGTGCCAGGCACAGCGCAGAGAGTTCACATGTTACTCAGTGGTCTGCCTGGCTGAAGGTCGTATACACTGTGAAGTGAAGGGTTGCATATCGTGTCTGAGTTCCTCGCTGTACCTTGCAACTGTAGTACGTGTGCTGGGTAGTCAAAAAAAAAAAAAATAAGTTGAGCGAGTGAAAGGTAACAGTCCTCTGCAGAGGTTGGTTATTTTTGTGGTTGTCACTTCTGGGTGTCTGAGGTTTCTTTGGTCATTTTCTCCCAGGCAGAGTGCTCTCATCCAGGCTGTCCCTTCTCTTCACTCCTCCCTCATTTATCCAGTGGTATTTCTCCATGAACTCTTAGGAGGATGTAATGGTGCTATGGAGCTTCCTCTCTGAAAAGGGTTCCTTAACCTCTGGCATTGTCACTTAGCTGCTGCAGAACAGAAATATCATGCACACACCATCTCTCTAGGAACCTTCTTATTTTAGAAAGATAGATGTTTTCTGACACAAGTACTGATCCAAACTCTATCTGATCTATAGCCTGTGACTGTCAGTTTGCCTGTGGATTGTTGAGCCTAGAACTCCTTCAGTACAGTTTAGTACAGCCCTCCTTCTCCTTGATAAAGCCTGTCTCTTAGCACTGTTATAAATCCCTAGAGGACGGGAAGCATGCTTTGCTTACTTGCATAACTCCCTTGCGATGCCAATGCCAGTGGATGACTGACTGACTTGCTGTGACTGTGCTTCTCAGCTAATTGGAGTTTTAAAAACCCACATCACAGGGTGTGTGTAGAGTGGTTCATCTCCTTGTGTTGTAAAGCCATGGACACCCTCCGCTCCCCACCACCCATTCCTATTACCCTCTAACCCAGCAAATGCTTTATTGCCTGTGAAGAGAATGGGAGATAGAAAGAGCCTTGTGGATAAGTAAAGGAGTTTAGATGAACTGTTGTGAATTTCCTCTACAAAGAAAAGTCTCAGATGTTTATCGAGCTGGGATATATTATCAAGTGTAAAAGCTGCCAGGAACTGATTAGAGATTTGACCTCCATAGATCTTTAGATTTCAGTAGCCACTTTTATACCATCACCATTTTGGTATATGGTAATCCTTCGCAATTGCCCTTGTTCTATTACAGGTCATCATTTTAGAAGACTATGCTGACCCTTATGATGCCAAACGGACAAAGGGTCAAAGAGATGCAGAGAGAGTAGGAGAGAACGATGGTTACATGGAACCCTATGATGCGCAGCAAATGATAACAGGTTTGTGAGCAGATTCTGCTTAGCAGGGACTGAAATCTCACTCAGTTGGAGCTTTGTAAAATAGTACCTGGTATGTATTTGGGGAAAAGGGATAAAGCAATTTAGTCAGATCTGCTGACTGGAAGAAGCAGAAATCAAAACCCAAACTAATACCAAACTACCCAGTTAACTTCCTCTATGGTTTATTATCCATCAGAGTTTTAGAATTTTCAGGGATCTTTAAGGTTGCCTGGTTCTCTGAAAGATGACATTTGTGGGTATGTAGATCTGTCCAGAATGTGAACTTCAGTTTTAAGATTATTCATATACATTTTTTGGCCATTTTCAGAAGCTTTGGCATCCATAATGGGAATCATAAATTTTTACCAAGAGACAACCACATACTTAAAAAATCTTAAGTTGGTAAGAGATGCAAATCTGATATGATTCTCTGTATTGTAGAAGATTTTCTCAACAAGTTCTAAAACATTGAAGCAAAAAATTGAATCACTAAGGAATAATTAACATCCCTGCCATAAAGCAAGCCATTCAAGGCAAACCACCTACAACTAAGCTCAACTGATCTTGTAACTTTTCAAGTCAGAACAATTCTAACTTGCAAACTAAGCAAACATTCTGTCATTTTTGTTGTCAGACTTTTCCCATTTATTTATAGTTCTTTTAAGTTGATGTAAATGATACTTAATAATATCATTTGTAATGATATAAACTAGTTATTTAAATATATTTGTAATTTTTAAAGTAAATTATTTGTTCATCTTATTTTCCTTAAACATTCTGCCATCCATAATGAAAAATGTAATCTCTGAGTGCTGACTCAAGGGAGCCTTGTTTGAATGTCACCGGTTTCATGCCTGGGAAAAGAATAATTGGTCCCACATTAAAGACTGTCTCTACTACTGTTTAAAACAGATTGAAAGGCTGTCAAGCCGAGGTTCCGCAAGTGTAATCTCGGAAGAGTTGAGCAGAGGGTAGTGGCAGCACCCTGGAAGGGCGAAGGCAGGCTTCAGAATGAAAAGGAGCTGCAACAGGAAAGCTCAGCTCTATTTCCTGTTTCTCTGCTCACAGAGATAAGGAGTCCCATTTGGGGAGGGTGTACCCTGGCCAGGCTGTGACCCGGACAGTCATTGGATTATGATCCCTAATGAAATATGTGAATGAAAGGAAGTGAAAATGAACTTAGAATTCTAAAAAATATCAGAGGCTTAAAAAGAATAGGGAAATGGATTGACTTTTACATAAAATTGAGGAAAAGGATTTTCTTTTTTTTTTTTTTGCAGTTTTAGGCCGAGGCTGGGTTTGAACCCACCACCTCCGGCATATGGGGCTGGCGCCCTACTCCTTCGAGCCATGGGCGCCGCCGGAAAAGGATTTTCTTTAAAAAAATTAATGTTAATTTTGATTCTCCCATTTTCATCCTTTAGGTTTATTTTTCTCTCTCTTTGGCTGGAATAGGTAGTTTATGCTGTTCCAGCTATTTATTTAGGGAGCCACACTGATAATAGGGAGAGTGCTATTCTTTTTAAAAGTAAATGTAGTGGGCAGCACCTGTGGCTAAGTGAGTAGGGCCCTGGCCCCACATATGGAGGGTGGCAGGTTCAAAGCCGCCCCGGCCAAACTGCAACAAAAAATAGCCAGGCGTTGCGGTGGGCACCTGTTTTCCCAGCTACTCAAGAGGCTGAGGCAAGAGAATCGCCTAAGCCCAAGAGCTGGAGATTGCTGTGAGCTGTGACGCCACAGCACTCTACCGAGGGCAAAAAAGTGAAACTCTGTCTCTAAAAAAAATGTAAATGTAGCTTTCGTTCCCTGGTAATTCCCTTAAAAGTAAATATAACTTTTTTCCCTCATAATTCCCCCAAGAGCTCTGTGAGAGATTGCACTGCTGTCCCTCCCTTGCAGTAGGGCAAAACAAACAAGGTGAAAGGGATTTGGACTTGCCTGTGCTCACAAGACTTTTTACCAGACCAAGCAAGAATTAGCCCCCGAATCTCCTACTCTAGATTGAGTGATCTGTCCCAACACCACATGCCTGTTGGGACACACTTGAATAATGTATGCAAAAGCCCTGTAAACTTCTGTAGGAATATAAAATTAATGTATTCAGCTGGTAAATAAATTTGAATTTATTAAAATCTAAATCACTAACTTTCTAAATTGGGGATCTAAGTACACTTTGCTCTTAACTTTTAAAAAATTACGTTAGTGGATTTTAAAGTTTCTACATTTAAAATGTATATGACAGGCCAGGAACAGTGGCTTATGCCTGTAATCCCAGCTCTTTGGGAGGCCAAGGCAGGAGGATCATTTGAGGCCAGAAGTTCAAGACTAGCCTGGGCAACATTGTGAGACTCTAGCTCTATAAAAAATAAAAAAATTAGCTGGGTATGATGGTGATGTGCACGTGTAGTCCTGGCTACTGGAGAGGCTGAGGTAGGAGGATTGCTGAGCCCAAGAGTTCAAGGCTGCAGTCAGCTATGATAAAGCCACTGCACTTCAGCCTAGGCAACAGAGCAAAACCTTGTCGCTATAAAATAAATACAATAAAATCATAGAGAATATTCCTTGTATTCCACTCATAGGTTACACAGCTGGACAGAATAACAGGAAGTGAGTTTATGGGAAGCTAGAAATAAAAGATTTGCTGCTTGGGTTTTTGTGTTTTGGTTTTTTGAATCTTTTACTTTTTTATTCAGTTTGCTTGTGTGCTTGGTTGTCAAGCCCAAGTTCAGAAATTTCCCATATTTCTTAAGAAACAATGAGGATTTTTAAAAATTTGTTTCAGTAGGAGATAGAGAGGGTGCTGATGAACATGATTTAACTGTGGATCAGATAAATCTCTATTATCATTCTACTGTGAAATGGGAACAACATGCCTGATTTACAATATCTTGGGCATACAGAATATTGTCCATATATATTTTTTAAGACAGAGTCTTATTCTGTTGCCCAGGCTAGAGTGCTCTGACATCATAGCTCACAGCAACCTTAAAGTACTGGGCTCAAGTGATTCTCTGGCCTCAGCCTCCCAAGTAGCTGGGACTACCTGGGCCTGCCGCAATGCCCAGCTAGTTTTT